GGTTGGTCCGATTCTAAACTCTAATGTATTGGGTTTGAATCCTGTCAATATAAATTTTCATAAAAAGTTTATTACTTTCTATGTTAGTTCCAACATAAAAAATCATACTTTCATATATATATATATATATATATATATATATATATATATATATATATTTATACTTTGCCCATATTATCAGGAGTTTTCTTTTTCTTTTTTCGAAGGTTTTTATCAAATTAAAATTTATGGAAGCTTGAAATACAATAATTTAATTGATTTGATTTGAGGATTAAAATTTTATATAATTAGATAAAAATAATTTATTTTTATTAAAATATGATTTAATGTAATAAAATAATTTATATTTTAATAACTCTTAAAGTAGTAAATGTATTTAAATATGTGATTTAATATATATATATATATATATATATATATATATATATATATATATATTATTTAGAAATGAGAGTCTCTCATTATCATGTTCGTTTTTAGATATTATTGAATTGTTGTCCATGATACATATAAATTATCCTTACTTCAACTCTTAAACATGATCCTAATGGAATAATATATAAAATCAATTTTATAAAATTGAATTTAATAATATGATACAAGAATAAATTCGAATTATAAATAATATTGAGAATATTAAAAAATACTTCTTAATAAAAAATATTTTATTTAATAGAATCAAATTATATATTATAATAATATTATGATATATAAATAAATATAATTTTTATTTTATAAATTATATTAAATCAAATATATTTTTATTTTCTATATAAATTAATCTTCATTGTGTAGATGAACTTGAATTGTTTAATAATAATTAATGGAGAGAAAGGACGATTAATTTATAAGAATTCTGTATAATCACTCCATTAAAATGTAATAATTATCTATAATAAAATATATACTGGATTTATTTTTCTCAATATATACTGACTTATGTTGTTTAACAATAATCACTTGCATATATAATTAAATATATATTGAATTATTTATTAATTTATTTAATATATATACAAACATTTAAAAAGTTATATTTCATCTTATATTGACTATATTTAAAGTATAAAAAATTGTTATATATTCTTTCTTTTTCAAAATACATTATAATTATGATTTACATACATAAATGAATAAAAATATAATTTTTAATAGTATTTCTGTCACTGAGAATAATTTATTTTCTCTCAACAATATTAGTTTTGTTCTTCCTTAAAAAACAATGTGACGATATTAAACATATTATTTACTGTATAAACAAACTTTAAAGAGAAAAAATAAATTCGATTGATATAATACAATTATTAATTTTTTTCTCATTTTTTTTATTTTCTCTTCCTTTAATTTTTGTTATCTTGTTCTTCTTTCATTTTATCATATTTTTCAATTTAAAAATAATATATTGAAATATGATCACGTGAGTCTTTTATTATTATTGAAAAATAAAAAATGTTATATGATAAATGTGAGAGGTTACAAAAATTATTATGAAAAAATTAAATATTTATTTTAAAGTATTTTTTAAGAAATATTAAAAAAAATACCTAAACCAACTAATTATCACAATTCAGCCTAATTATAACAATATTAAAATATTAAATAAAATATATTTAAATTATCAATATTTAATATTTTTTAAATTAGATGAGTAATTATTTATTATAATAAAATAATCTAAATTATTTATTTAAATTGTAAATAAAATTATTTAGTATTAAAGTAAATAAATAAATTTATTATCATTATAAATTTAAATATTCAATTAATATTCTTTTAAATTCAATGTTGTTTTTTAAATATTTGTTTTAACTTATTTTTATTAAATTTTAATATAGTAATTTAAATAAGAGACTAAGTGGAAGATGAGAAAGAAAAATAAAAGATGTAAAATAGAAAAAAAAATGATAAGTGGACGAAGAAAGAAAACAAATAAAAAAATAAAATTAGGAGAGAGTGAATAAAAATTATATACGAATAATACACAAATTTATTTGAGTAAATAAATTTATATAAATTATATTTGAGTAATTTTTTTTAAATATGTTATTTTTTAATTCATTCTATAAACATATTTTTATTATTTAATATAAATTTAAACACCGAATTACAAATTTATAAAAGAAAAATAAAAGTTTTCAACTTATTTAAACAAAAGAACTGAAACACAATTTACGTATTAACATGAAATTAGTTGAAGAGATGAAAAATAAATTTTTTTTTCGTATTATTAGTTGGGACAATTTTTTCTCCACTTTCATAATGTATCAATGTAATTAGATATAAGTTACAATTCATTTAAAATCCTATAAAATCAGTATTTAATATTTTTAAGTAAAAAATTACATAATTAATGTAACTTTAACTATATAAACATCATATATTTAGAAAAAATAATATAAAAGTTATCTATCGAAACCTTGTATATTTTGAAACAGTAATAATTATAATATAAATAATATGAAAGTATAAATAATCACGCTATATACAAGATGATAAACTTGTGTTTTAATAGTTTTCAGACAACCAGTAATACAAACAATGTATAATAATTATCCAAAAACAAAAAAATTATCTCACCTTATCAGAGTGCTAAAGTTATTGTGTTACCTCGTGTTTAGTAGAATTTTAAAGATAAAATTTATATTAACAATTAACAAGTGTCTCAATTCTAAATGATATTTGCATCCTCTAATCTAAGTATTGTTAGTGAAAGTGTGGTAGGAAATTTAATTAGGAATAAAGAACATTTTAGAATTTTGTATGTTGCAGTGAGGATGGGCAGTCACATTTGGCAACCCTGCATTTAATTAGTGTTGTTGTAAGATGAAGTCAACTTATTTGGTGTTCAAAGAGTCCACAGTATAATGTTTTTGAATGGATGATGAAAAGAATCATAGTTTTTCCTTTTCTTTTCTTTCCTCAGTAAAATTGATTGGCGAGTGTAAGATACGACATTCAAAGGCGGTGAAAACACATTTAATGATGTTGCAAAGGTTGATGAGTTGAGCTCTCCAGTTTCCAAAAGCATGGGGAGAACAATCGTCCCACATCTCCCAAACCGTGTAGTCACTTTTATCTTATTGTAAATGGATGATTTTTAAGTAACACTAAGGTTAACTATATTATTACCATTTCCAAAATTTTTAATTTCCTAAATTCAAAACTATTCTTTTCTTATTTTAAGAAATACACTAATTTCAGTTTCTTAAGCAAACTTTGTCCTCTAAAAATAAATAAAAAAAGGCATACTTTGTTATCTTGAATAAATGAAAATGACACAACATTAATTATGTTTCATGTTAATATTTCTGTTTATCTTGTTATGGTTATACGAGTTCATCGGATAAAAAATTATTTTTATTCACTTAATTGTTTATTACCCTATTATGATCTAATAGAATAGTATTAGCTATTGCTTTTATAAGTCAATTTATATTACAATCGAGAAAAAAAAATTAAACTAACTAGTTTTTATTGATTTAAATTTCTTATAAAAAAATTGAACCTTGTAAACAATTCATTTCGATAACAAATTAGTTGATTCAATCGAAAATAATAATAATAAATTTCCCGGTCAATGCACAACAAAAACATATTATTTTTTGTCAAAAATGTCTCACATGATTCTTGTTATTAAAAAGTGTAAATAAGTTTTGTTATTGTAATTAAATTATAACAAAACTTATAAAAATATTATGAAATTTTGTGTATAATAATTAATAGAAATAATAATTTCATTAGTTTGATTTCAGTTTTTTTATTTATAAATTAAAATATAATTTCAAACTATTTATTACCAATTTTGACTTAGTTTTTAGATTGCATTAAGTTACAAATTTGAATATAATTTATTTGTTTCAGTTTAAATTCATGAATTAATTACATTGATTTAAATAATAATTGTGCTTTCAAGGTTAACCGAGATTATACACCTTGTAATTATTATTTAAGTGCAAGAAATTTAAATATGATTTAATGATTTCTTTTGTAATTTAATAGTTTCACGTATTACTTTTAAGAAAAATAAAGAGAATTAAAAGAACTACACAAATATATTTATTATATTAATTGGTGCATTAAACATGATAAAATTATTACTTAATTTTAATTTAATTTTAAAAAGTGCTGTATAACCATCCCAACAGTTAAAATATACTCATTCGTAAAGTTAATTTGCATATTATTGTGTTAGTTTTATCAATAAGATGAAATTAGATATGTATTACTTTCAGTTATTTTTATAAAACAAAATGAATTATCAATTATTTTTATAAATATATTGGTAAGATTATAACGTAGAAAATTTAAAATATTTAATTATATTAACATTAATTTCTTTTATGCAAGGGAGAAAATGCGGGCCGGCCCGCGTTAAAGTTAGCATTATAATTAATTAATTAATAAAACGTATGATGAATAATTCAATTGAATATATAATAGTGGGATTTTGTATTAACTTTTTTATAAAATATATGTAAATTTTGAAAAGATAAAAAAATAAATTAAATTAAATCTTCCCAACAAAAGACTAAACTAAATCTGATTAAAAAATATAAATTAAATGGATAATTACTTGATTAGAAATAATGATAAAGAGAAAATCAAATTAATCTTACGAAGAGTATAGGATAAAGTTAGTGTTTTTTTTATATACTATATTTTTACTTTTCACACTCCTGTTACATTTCCCCATGGCCGACTCTTACGAAATAAAACAGAGAAGAAAAAACGTAAATAATAATAATGATAATTATTATTATTTAGTATTATTATTAATATTATTGTAAGTGGGTCAGAGGGACACGTTATGAGCAGACACTTCCATGTGGCCACATGGATGAGAGAAAGAGAAAGAGCAAGAAGAAGAAGAACAAGATCATCAACAACACCACCATCAAGCAACACACCAACACCAACTGAAACATCTTAGACTCAGAATTCTCTCTCTCTCTCTCTCTTCTTCTTTTGTTAATTGTGTTGGGGCACTGAAAAAGAAGAAGATGAAGGAAAGCAGTGATGGGTTTGTGAGAGCGGATCAGATTGATCTGAAGAGCATAGATGAACAGTTGGAGAGGCACCTCAACAAGGTGCTGACCATAGACAAGAAAAAGCGCTCTGATGAGGAGGAAGATGCTGATCAGGTTCATGTACACACCAGTGCCACTGCCTCTCCCAAATTCAGACCCGCCTCTGCTAGGCTAAACTTGAAGAAGCAGAAGCAGGAGTGGGAGATTGATCCTTCTAAACTCATCATCAAAAGTGTCATAGCCCGTGGCACTTTTGGCACTGTCCACCGTGGTGTCTATGATACCCAAGATGTTGCTGGTTAGTTCTTTCTTTCAACGGATCCATTTTTACTTATCCGATTCAGATGCATAATTCCCTTCTCACCAAACTCCAAGTGGAAGGAGTTTGTCTAAAAATATGTTTTTTTTAGCGATCTTTCTTCTTCAAATTATTATTTGATTTTCAACCAGTGGGTTATCTGTTTAATTTGTATGAATAAGCATCATCGGATGCAGCTGTTCAACTCTTAATTTCTTCAGCAAAATTATTACTTGAAGTAAATTACTCCAGTTAATTAATTAATTCCCTTGCTTCGCTAGATTTTCTGGAAAAGGAGTTGACTTTTACAATGATTTAGTGTATAGTTGAATTTGTGGGAATAATAGTAAAATTTTGGATGGTGCTTTTAGCGTCATAAAATTCATGTGACCCCGTTGTGGATTTGATCTTCTGGTGTGGTGAATATAATTAATATGATGTTTTTTTTTTTTTTTTTTTTTTTTTTGTTTCGGTGGTTATTTATACTTTGGGTAGAATTTGTGGTTTTCTTTTTCTGCGTTTAACTGATCCCAGTTACTGGGTTACTTAATGCTTAGTGAAATTGTTGGACTGGGGTGAAGAAGGACAAAGGACAGAAGCAGAAATTGCCTCCCTGAGGGCAGCGTTTACACAGGAAGTTGTTGTTTGGCATAAACTTGATCATCCCAATGTCACAAAGGTTAATTTCAATTTCTTTGACATCTGTTTTCTTTTGTTTATGTAATTGTCATTACAATATGTTGAACTTGTTTCAATGTTGTGTATGCTAATATTAATTTATTGTATTTTATCCTTTCAAACGTAGAATTTCCTGCCATCAGAGGTCGTATGAATTTGTATTATCAGCTGAGGGTTTCATTTTCAATAGAATGCAAATCAATCCACCTTTGTAAATATGCCTTTGCATATTTGCTTTTAGTTTTTAGTCTTCCTTTGTTGTTGCATACTTGAATATAATGGATTAATACTGTCATACAAAGGGTTCAAGTGATTAGGTCCTCTGATAAAAAATCTTTAATTCTCAAGGATATCATATCAAGTTTTTTGTCTGGTTTCCAATTTCTGGGATTTCCTTCTTAACTACGTTAACCCACTTTTCCACATTCAACTTGAATTTGCTTGAAATTGTTGAAGGACCTTCTTTTGTGCGGTTGAGAGCCACTATTGTTGTCTTTGTTGTTTAAAATTTCCATGCATGTTGTTTTAAGAGCACGAGGCATGCAGTTCGCCTACTGTTTCTTTATTGGCAAAATCTGGAAATATTAGCAATACAAGTATTTGGAGCTGAAAATATACGAATCTTATAAAATTGATTCACAACATATGAGCTTAACTGTCCCAGATATGGTTTTCTTTCATATTGTTTCTATGTCTATAATCAGATATTGTTGTGATATATAAGTTGGAATAGATTAATCTAAGTCTGCTGGTAGAGAATATTCAGAGAAGTATCCTTGCATTAACTTGTAGCATTATTTGCGTATACTAACCTCATTAACAAGATACAGTGCTTGAATTCCATAGTTTTTAGATAATCTTTAGTTGAATGTATTTTAACATATTTGGTGTTTATTTCTTTCATTTTTTTCAAAAAGCCGTTTTGAGGAGATCTTTGTTTACTATAATCTATCTTTATGAGTTGATTATAGAACAAAAAAGTTAACTACAACCTTTCCAACAGAAGTATATGGCTCTTAATTTATAACTTGTTAATCTGTTGATCTAAAAGGGAATACTAATATCTTCACATAGAATGGAGTCGGTTATGATATATGGTTATTCTATGCATTCATTGTAGAAAATTCAGAGTGCTCCGAACTTGAACTAGTCTTTCACAATGGAGGTGAAAACAAATGTGAATAAACTTTTTCCATTTGGTTCGGCATCCATGGTTCTGTTGAACAAAGATTCTAAATAAACAAACCAACCTGCCAGCATTTTTTGAAATTTACTAAGAATAAAAGCTTTTATTTATTCGTCAGGTTTCTATTGTTTTCTCTCTTTTCAAAGGGTATTATACTTTTCTGCAAACACTTTTGTATTCTATATTTTTTAACCTTTTACATTTCCATGTTTAGTTTATAGGGGCAACAATGGGGTCTTCAGAATTGCAGATACAAACTGATAATGGTCTAATTGGCATGCCAAGCAATGTCTGTTGTGTTGTTGTGGAGTATCTTGCTGGAGGAAATCTGAAATCATACCTAATAAAGAACAGGAGGAGGAAGCTAGCTTTCAAGATTGTCATCCAGCTGGCACTTGATCTTGCAAGAGGGTATCTGTCTATTTTTTTCGTGGTTTAGCAGGTTAGGAACAATAATTCTCATAATTTGTCTGTGCAATTACTCAGCTTGAACTCACTTGGTTTTACAGGCTGAGTTATCTTCACTCTCAGAAGATTGTCCATAGAGATGTTAAGACAGAGAACATGCTGTTGGATAAGACACGCACAGTTAAAATTGCTGATTTTGGGGTTGCGCGTGTTGAGGCATCAAATCCTAACGATATGACTGGGGAGACTGGTACCCTTGGTTATATGGCTCCAGAGGTATGTAGTCGATACCTGTACAATCCTTACAAATTAGATATTGTTGTCCTAGTATGTGTGACACAGTGGAAGCCTAAGTGAAAAAAGGCATGCTGTGTACCAATAGATTTCATGTCATGCGAAATTAGCGTATCCAGCTCCAATATTTCATCCCAGTGAGGATAGGTGTTTTCAATTTTCATGTCATTCTTAGAGTTGTTCAATGAAGGTAAATGATTACTTTCATGCGGCAGCATATAGTGTGAAACCGTGAATAAAAAGAAAAAATTTGATATACAAATATTTAACTTGATCAAAGAGAAAACCCTTGTAATTGACTATTTTTTTTTACTTTGACATCGGGATGATTTACAGGTTTTAAACGGCAACCCCTATAACAGGAAATGTGATGTGTACAGTTTTGGCATCTGTTTATGGGAAATATATTGTTGTGACATGCCATATCCTGACCTAAGTTTCTCAGAAATTACATCAGCTGTTGTTCGCCAGGTATATTTTCTTCTCTGTTTTGATTGATTTTCTTACTTGAGCAGTGCCTGTTTATACTGTGGATTCAGTGTCTGTGAATCCATTATGATTATATTTTTATATCTGTTGGAATTTTAGAATTTAAGACCAGAAATACCAAGATGTTGCCCAAGTTCTCTGGCAAATGTTATGAAGAAATGCTGGGATGCCACTCCGGATAAGCGGCCAGAGATGGATGAGGTAGTTTCCATGCTGGAGGCCATAGACACAACCAAAGGTGGAGGTATGATCCCCCATGATCAGCAGCAGGGTTGTTTTTGCTTCCGCAAGCATAGAGGGCCTTGAAGTTTATTCTTTAGTCTTGCAAACGATTTGGTTATAGTGATTTTTCACTATTTGAAGAATCAATTTGTATCTATAGTGAGAAAGCAGTATTTGGATACTAGATGAGACAAATACACAGTAAGGGGTACAGGTAGGAGGAGCTGGTGACATGTCAATATGTTGGGTGTGTAAAACTGTACCTCTGATTTTCTTTTACCTTTTTTCCCCCACATTGGTTTGGGTTCTGTGGGTATGAGTATTACTTTCTGCTTGGCAATGTTGCCGGATTTGACTTGTAACTTGCAGGATCTTCATTATACTATTACGTACTCCCAATCATAATTGATGTTATTAAGTTGGATCCATTTGCTTTGTTGTAAACAATACTAGCTTATATTAAACCGGAAGTAAAACCTCTTTGTTCTCTTGAATACAAGTTCATCTGTAAAATAACTCTAATAGCTTAAAGAACCACTGTACTCTTCCGTTTTCAATCGCCAATGATACTCTTTGGGCCTTATATAATTATCGGATAAAAGTATACAAAAAACATTAGTTTTCGCATAAGAAAAATGAGTTTCTACGGAGACACGACAAGTTTTTGCATGAATAGAAAGAAACTAACTTCTGCCATGATTCAACTAGCTGTTGGAAGAAAAGTGGTGTCACCCGTACTTAACAGTTCTCGTCTTGTCCTGTTCTTTAATCGAGCACCTTCTGATTTACATTTAGTTTGTCAAGACATCCTAAATTTCATCAATGGAATCATTTTGGTAATCATGTCATCTTGATTATCAAATGTGTGAATCTTTACCACCTTTACCGACTCACCCTCAATCACATCTCTATTGGAATATGATATCATTGTGCTTTCTATGCTCAAGGTAAATACGGCTCTTGCATTAGTGGATCGCACTTAGATTATCACAGTGCAATTCAATGTTTTTTCTGCTCAATTCCTAGCGCATTGATAAACTCTTTAATCCACAAAGCTTCCTCGATCACCTCCATGACATTTACGTACTCTCCCTCTGGTTGAACGTGCAACACTGTGCTGTAGAGTGTCTTTCAATTGATTGCATTTTCAAATAGGTAAAAATAACCTTGTCATTGATCTCCTCCCGTCCAAGTTTCCCCCAAGTTTGAATCAATAAAAGCCCTTTGTTGGCCGATTTCCTTCAGCACACTTACTATACAGAAGTCTAAAGATTTTGGTCCCTACTAAATATTTCTTTATCATATATGCACGTAATTACCCTCCAACGTTCTTTCCTAGATTTTCCCATAAATATACTTATCAAACCCAATCCATAAGCTTAATCTGGCCAGGAACACATCATAATTTACATTATGCTTCTAATGGCACTACCATATGGTACCCCTAGACATTTTTTTCCTTCTCATCATCATCATCAGTTTGTGGAAATTGGACAGATGATAACTTGAAAAATGAAATGCAACGGGTGTTGTATCAGGGTTTGCCGTTTTTTTCCATGCTAAACATAGAAACAATTTTGTTCAAGTAATCCTTCAGGTAGCCCCTAGATTCGACATTTCATACTTAGATCTGAAATGCTTCTTGAGCTTGTTTATTTCCATTTTTTTCCTTTAAGCAAGCAGCATATCATCAAAATAAACAAACAAATAAATGTCATCTTGTGCGTTAGATTTCTTCTGATTTTAACACCTTAAAAAGTTCTTAGCTCATCTTTTATTACTTCATCTGCAATAGTTAGAGCATAAGCAATGGGACTTGAATATCCCTTCTTTGAGGTGGCCTTATATCCAGTTTTTCTCTATAGCTAACCAACCTGTAGCGACGAATACTGGACTGCTCTTTTGTAATTGGACTTTGATCCTCTTCCATGGTTCAGACACACCATTACTACTCTCTGTGTTTTTCTTCAAGAGATTCTTCTCAAATTCAGCTTGAACCTGTTTTTGTTCCCAACTAGCTTTGCTTTTTAAAATTCACATCCATGCTTATCACACATTTTTAGACTTTAATTACCAAATTTGTTCCCTTTGACCCTGCTTCACCCGTGGTCCATTCACATGGTATGTCACACATCCAAAGATCTTCAAAATTGGTGTAGTCGGTTGGTTCACTTGTTCATAGTTCAGTTCTCGTAGGGACATGTATCCGATGCAATTAATGGTGTTCTGTTCACCAAATAACAAGTTGTATGAATAACTTCACCCCCAAAAATGAGAAGGGAGTTTTGCATTTTACTATAAGCATTTTGATGTATTCTTTGAGAGTCCTTGTTGGAATTCAAATATGAGCTAGATTCCCATTGAAACAAAATAAGAGAGTTGAATAATTCATAAATAAATTCAATTCTCATTATCTGCTTTGTAATAAGAACGTCCGAATTCTCCAACATTCCAAGAGAATTAAGTTTTCTTTAATTCTGGGCCATACCATACTTTATTGAGAATTCTCTGTCTGCCTTCATGAGTTCTTAGTCTTATGTTGCCAATTCTAGTAACCAAGCGTGCTGTGTTATTTTGCCCGATCACTTTCCCACCATCCAGATTTCCATAAGAATGAAACTATTCCTTCATAAGACACGTGTGGAAGGAACATCTTGAATGAACCTAACACCCATTCTTCAACTACTCTCTTGTCCATTCCATCATGATGTCAAAGAACAAATAGCCCTTAGAGTTACATTAGTGTTGTGCGTTCTTTGGACTTTCCTCCTCGTCATCATCTATAATACTGAATGAAAACCATATTCTAATGATTTCGAAGAACAATTCTATTAGTGTTATGGATTCATCATTAGAATCTGATTATCGATCTTTCCTCTTATTAGAGAAAATTCGCTTCAAGTGACCCTCCTTTTTGCACTAGGAACATTTTCTTGGCTTGAACTTCGATCTTCAAATTTTGCTTGAAATCCATGTGATCTTTTCTGTCTCTCCCCACGACCCTTCACAAGTGTAATAATTTCTTTCTTTGGACTTCTTCAAATCCTTTATAGCATACTGGACCTCCTTTAATGTATAGGAATCTCGCTCACAGGCCAACGTGCATGAAGATTCTCGTATCTCCTGTTTTAAAGATTTAGCAAAGTGATATCGGATCTTCATCTCCAACCTTGATGTCCGTGTAACATTTTCAAGATATGAATGACCTTGTTGAACTCAGCCAAATGATCTCACATGAACTGTGTCTTGAACGTATAGAGCTTTTCTTTTGGACGAGTATAGATTGCTAGAGATCTCATCAAGTAAAGGTTCTCCTATTTCTACCAGATGGTTGTTGTTGTAGATTGATATGATGGAAAGGAGAACATACGATATGTGAAATTCTCTTTGATCTCTAATTAGTGGTCACAAATTCCAACAACTAAGAAAACGCCTTTTATACTTCCTAGCTATGATTAGAAAAAAAAAATGTGTTTACAGTAGATAAATGAGTTTTGGCATGAATAATATTTCTTCTCTGACCATACAATTCAAACTAAACGATGGGAAGATACAGAAATTGTAATTTGTAGGATAAATTCTAACATACAATTTTAATTCTAACCATACTATTTGTGAATAAAAAAATTGTTATGAGCTATGAAATATTAGTGAAACTAATTATTATAAATACAAGCTAATCAATCATTCATATCAATCATAAGCTAAAAATTAAGCCAAAACGACAATAGTATTAGTGAATCACTTGACGACTGTAACCTTCCTTTCTTTTTCTTCACGCATGAATATTTTTGAAGCAAGCAGATAATTATATAATTAGTTGTGACATTACAAATTATAATATTTTGCATGCAGTCAAAGAAAATTGTGAAAACACTACTGGAAAACTTATTTGGAAGGATTGTGTGACTTGCTAATTTTAATGAATAGATTTGATGTCTGATGTAAAAAGGATATAAGCTTCAAATTCATAGGATGATCTTATAGCTGTAACTTATGTTTGGAATGTGATTGAGAATCAGATTCATAGGGTGATTTTACATTAAATTTGCATTCAAAAGTGAGAATCACATAATAAAGCACTGAAAACTTGATGCACTCAATTTCAAATCTAATTAATAAGATAGTTGCTTCTAGTTTTTGTTATGGGAAGTGATTTATCTGGTAGATTGCACGAAATTCAAAATTTGATCGTTTATGTGTAGAAAGTGTAATAATATCATTAAGAAGAAGCATGTTGAAAATTTTTGTCGCCTGTCACCAGCTGATTTTCATTCCAAAAAAATTCTGATCAGCTCAAATGAGCATATACATCATTAAAGCCAACATCAACACAACATGGATTCCCTCTAAGAGATCAATCCTATGCTGTGATTTTCAAAGTGCAAAATAAATGAAGGCATGTTTCAATACAAATTAGGAGTTTTCTCGAGAATGTTTCTTCTATCCGTTTAACTAAAAATACTGTCAAAAACATTGAGAAAGCCTCCTAACTTTATTTGCTCAAACAAACTCTTATTCTTTAAAGACAAACTCTTATTCTTTAAAGAGAGGTGCAGTTTCTTTTTTTGTCCTTTATCTTTGTGTCTTCTCTGAGTTTCCAAGCAGAAAATCACGGGTTAGACATATCATCTTCGTCCCACTTGGTTGTTCGGTAGTACATGGCGTACAGGATGAGCTGCGTCAACCCAGAAAGTGTTCCCAAGCCATTTGGAATCTGCCATTTCAGAAATTTAAACATTAACCTAAAATCTTCTATCATGCACAAATCTAACTATACTGTTCAAAAACGGAAAAAAAAAAGTGTTGATAATAATTACCACAATGAATGGATCCCACTTAAGTAAGGCATAGATCGTCCAGACAATTCCATTGGCGAAGTTGGCTAATGAAAGTAAGAAAGGCATGTACTTGACGCTCTTCGTTCGAATTACTTGTCTCTGCTCATTTTTGGGGGGTTGAGAAGGAAATCACCAAAAATTATTTAAATATTTAGGAAAAGAATGAATACATGAGAGAAGTATGTTTGCAGAATTAGGGCTACGACGTACCATGACAGTCAAGGGTGCAAAATACATAAGGATGTTGAAGACTATGCAGATAGGTCCAACAATCACCTTTCTTTGTTTCGGGGTGTGAACAAAGGTCATCACTAAAAACACCAGTAACGCAAGGAAGATGATTTCACCAAGGAAGATTAGGAGGATCTTCCTCTGAAATTATTAAATTCATCGATTAATCCAAACGCCAATTAGGGCATTAAGAATATGTAATCACATTAAGATAATTGTTATTTTTTGCTCACCCTCTTGCCCCAGCTCGAGTATATAAAGAAGACGAGACTGTAGAAGATTTCAAGGAAGAACCCAAACGCATTAATTGAGATGACAAGAGTGTTATCTGGTGTTACAAAGGGCATACCATAGAATAACCACACTCCACAATTCAATATAGTCGCAATGTAAGGATCTGGCTTAAAATTTTGCACTGATTTTGCCTTAAATATTGCTATAAATGTAGGTCTGCAAATATATGTATATTAGCCATTGTTATACCTAATACATTATCAACAATGAAGAGAGAGAAAGAGATATTTACACTGGAGACATGAATAACCCAAAAGAGATGATATTTCCTGAAAACATATAAAATAATAACAATCATTAGTTTTAAATTTTTTGATAGACCTGGTCACCATAATTATTATCAGTAAGTATGTATTCAATACAAAATCATAATCATAAAACAGTTTCTGAATCTGAACATAACACACCAAATTTCTCATAACTTTAAATACTTGAATGATTCACAATAATTCCATAAGTTGTCACCTACACTTTTGCATGTTCCATAACATCATATGCTTTCAAAGCTTTCAATAATCAACTAAACCTCTTGCAAGAATCATGATAAAAACCAACTTCAATGTACCATTTAAACTTAATTTCATCTCCCTCCTTTCCGAAATAACACTCAAAATAAAATAAATATCTTATAATCCACAACATTCCTTTAAATCTTGAGTCAGTTAGTAAAGGAATAAATAAAGTCTCCCATTAATGTAATCTATTCCCAGTACCTCAGGTGCACTAACTTCACAAGCATTGTACTTCCAAAAATAACCATATAACTTCATACTAAATAATAATCTTTTCTTTGTTTGTCATCTCGTTTTTCATGTCTTTTATATAAACATTAATTTTGAGCAGAGATACTAACTCACATAAATATAACAGAACTTCTATGATATTTATACTTTACCTACTTTACCTATATTATAATGTATCCTCAACAAATTGTAAATATAATATACATAACCATTTTCACCCATTATATACCCTTTAAATGGCAACATCATAGGATACTCATTCATCAAAACATTAAACTCATCAACTGCTATAACAAGTAGAAAAGGATACAATGAATTTAGATCTCGTGTTCACTAAATTGTTCCTTAAATGTCTTTTGTTTTTCGTAATTCTAATAGATGGAAAGGACTACTTCAAAAAAAAATAATAATTCAGAAACTACTTGTTGTCTTATGGCAAAAATAATATGAATATAAAAACATGAAATGTTGTGAGGTTTTCGATCGTGCACAAACCAATTATTCCAACGGCAGTTCTTGCTGCATTGGTGTTAACCATGGCTGGAACGTTCAAACAAGAAAGTGACACAGATGGTGAAAAACAAAGTAAGAAAGTGAAGTAATCAGATGCAACTGCTTTAGCATCTTTAGTTAAGATAGTATATATATACATAATTATCCCAAAACTCAACCAAATATGGTTTATGATGACCCAAAAACTATGTTTGAAATGCTGACTTTTAACTTGCCTCTCAGCCACAAGCATGTTCTCTTTCTTCGGAACTCTGTCCAACTAACTTCCCCGTTTACCCACACCACATAAAATCAGGAGGTATGACAATTTACATTTATATTTTCAAATGGGTCATAGGATTTTTCCACTAGAATACTTTTTTTTTTCATCGTGTTATGAGGTCAATTAGATCAGATATGATCATGTACGCTCATGGTGTAGCTCAAGTTCTGATTGATATATATATACATAATTTTGAAATTTTTATTTACTAATATTTAAAATAGATGTGAAACCAAAATCAAGTGTGTTAACATTAAATTCAACAATATACAATATTCTTTGACAACTACAATTATCAAATAAATTAATATAAATATGAATAATCATAGTATTGAATTATAATTATAAAAATATAAAAAATTAAATTAAAAAAAATACTTTTTCCATTGAATTAGTTTGCACTGATTTCGAAATTAAATAAATTGATTTGGTGTCTCTCACTCTCCATGCTATTAATCCAACCACAGGTTGTTCTCGGACAATCCGGTTCTAAAGTTTCAAAAATTCATAAACAAGTACCTCATGATTTACTTATGAAAAAAGAAGAAGAAGAAGTTACAATATATTAAAAAATATTTCAAAATTAAAAAATAGCACATGCTAGATTAAAAATATATATTTATTCATCTTCTCCAACTTTTGATGCAAAGTTATTACATATTTTAGAATAGATAAATTTTTTATATAAATATATTTTTAAAACTAAAAGTGTTTAATTTAGAAGAAGAATTTGTAAATTATCCTATATGTAGTACTTTTTATTTTCTCACTAAGTATTATTTAGTATTTTAGGTTTTTATGTATTATTTTTCTTGGTAGAACTGTCAGAAATCAGAAACAACTGCATACTCTGGTCTAAGAAAAAAACCTATTCTTACAATTACAGACAGAAAATCAGAACTGCATAGCGCTGATAAATATTGGAGAATAGCAGGTGAACATAGTTCCTGAAATCAAAGGCTTCGCTTACTCTTTGATATAGGTAACATATTCTTCAACCTGGGAGAATTCTCTCATTCACTCTTTTGGTCCCGTACATTTTAAAATCTTACCATAATATACATTCTAAAGGAAAATATTTGATGTACACCCTCAAACATCTATTATTTCCTGTTTTTATTTAAATTAAAAAAAAATTAGTTTTATAATAAAACATGAGAGTGAAAAAGGTTGAATGGGTGAATTTAAGTTTGTTAGGTGTCTCTGAACCCTATTTCAAAATTTTAATATAATATTAAAAATAATGAAATCCTTACCTTAATTTTATAAAATTAATTTAATATTTATTTATATATTTTAATATTATCATATTTACAGAATTTGATGAGTTAATTAATGAGATTTTTAATTTATTTTTTTAAATAAAAAATTATATTTATATATATTATAATAGTATCAAATCTCTATCTCACATCAACAAAATGCATAATTGAATAACTCTTATTATCCACGTCATATTTAACAGAATACATAATTGAATAACTCTTGTTCTAATTAACACAAGAAAAAAAAACATTTTGATACAAAAAATTAAACATATAAATCATAAAATAATAATATTTTAATTTTTGAGTAAATATATAAATAATAATATTTTGGTTAAGTGATAAAGAATGAAAAAAATAGATAAATAATAATATAAAAATTTAAAAGTAAATGATTGAATAGTTGTTTTTTTTTTTTGAAGTGTGAAAATATCGTACTCTTAACAAAATTGTTTTGTTATTTAATATTCACCGAAAGTGATGTGCAAAGACTAAAACATAAAATAGATTTGCCCTTCTTGTTTATTTGAAACTCTCTGCAGTGGTTCTCTGATTGAATATGAAATCTATGATTGTTAAATGACTTACAGTTTTATATATCTCAACAGAGAAACCAAATTCGGAAAATAAAAAAGAATTTAATGAAGAGATCAAGACAAAAAATTTCATCGTATAATTTCACACCACTTCTATTCATAACCAGAGATATAAGAAAAAAAAATTCAGTTTTCAGTATGAGCTAAGCAAAAGGCTCGCTTATTGAAATTAGCTCACTGGCAATAAAAAAGAGAGCCTCGAGCTAATTTCACAAATCTGACAAAAAACCAATGTAACTTATTACAGTGTTTAGTATTTACACAAAAAAGGCTTCCGCGTATTCACAGAGGGAGAAGAGGTTGGTTCCATTCCAGGTCGGAACTCATGAATGAGAATAATAATCACCAAACGTGAAGCGCTGGTTCCTGCGGAGGAGAGGAACCCTTGAGTCCAGAAGTTCTAGTCTCGTGGAAATCTTGTATAACTTTGATAAGGAACCGCGCTTTCTTCGCACCGTGACAACTCCCACCCGTCACAAGCGAATATAGCGCAGGCATCACCGAAGGATCCTTCGCCAGAACCGCCACCACCTCCGCCCCAACATTCACGCAAAGCGACAACAAAATCGAAGCAGAGTGCTCTTTTCCCGCGCGTGACGTGGCAGAACGCAGCGTACCCGTAATCAACACCAACGCCGAACCTTTCAATATCGCCCGCGCCCCATCAACATTCTCAGCCAGCGCTGCAAGAACCGCCAATGATTCAGTAACCAGCTCCTCCTTATCCGAAGAAGCCAAAATGTCAAGCAGCGCAGGAACCGCACCTGCAGCGACCACCCTTTGGTGATTCTTAGGAAGTAAAAGCAACCCGAAAAGCGCAACCACAGCGTTCTTTCTCCCGCAGGTTGTTCCTTCCTTAACTAGCTTCACCAAAGCCGGAATCACCTCGGGGTTCTCACCTATTATTTTCCGGTGCTCTTTCACCGAAGAGAGATAAAACATGATAGCAGCAGCTACTTGACGAGCTTCTATGCTAACTCCATTTTTCAACACGGAAAGAATTACGGTTAGGCCACCACTGGAAATGATATCTTTTGGTCCATTCGGATGTTTAGAGAGCTTCAATAGAGCGGATATTGCGTTCTCTTGAGTGGATTTGTCGTTAGATGCAGAAGCTAAAAGTTCTAGTAGAGGAGACACTGTTCCCACTTCAATCAAACAAGCCCTATTGAAAATGCTGGTTCTTGCAAGCACGCGAATCTCATACGCTGCCTTGCGCTTCTGTTCTTGCGTTCCGAATGCCAGGCTCCGCGTCAGGAACCACGCCAGGAATTGCACGGCGTGCGCCGCCGCGGGACTAACTGCGCCGATGTTGCGGTTACTGTTACATGGGTTGTTGAGTGAAATGCCGTTATCGGCGCAGAACTGTTGGATGAGCCTCTTGAGCGTTGTGTTGGGGACCAACTCTGTGTTTGTTAGCTTCTCCCCTGTTTTGGGACATGTGGTGTTCCCAGCTTTGAGCCATTTCTGAATGGAGGCTCGGTCGTAGGTTTGACCCGTTGACACCGTCACCGGATCGGTCATCAACTCGAGGGAGATCGGGCAGCGGAAATCCTCTGGATTAACAGACGTTAGTAATGATACAGATAACGGTGTCATCTCCGTGCTGCATCTCCCTTCGGATTGATTCGTGTCTTCCATGGTTTCGAAAATCACACCTCTGCAGTAACTTAAGAACCCTACCAAGCTACTGATCAACGGAACCTCTCGCTCGTCACGATCGCGACACGCTAAGCTGATTTCTTCTTCTAGGAAATTAATCTCTTTACTGCAATCCGTCCAGGTTCTAATTTCGAGGTAGTCAATGATTCCCTGAATGGAACTGTTGTCAGGTTCGGTTCCCCTCGCGAACAGGCGCAGAGCAGTATGGAGGGTTTTGCACGCACGAGCGTCGCTGGGGTCCACTTCGAACTTGGCTTTCCTCGCTTGCCTCGTAACTAACTCCGCCAATTCCCTGACTTCTGCGCACACATCGAACTGGTGAAGAGGCAAAACGTCGAGGGAGGTGGCGACGGCGCGAATGAGGGCGCGGAACTGGGATGCGACGTGTTGCGATTTGGCGAGCATTAATAGGCGCGCGCCTTCGAGTGTGCAATCTTGCATCAAGAAGTGGATCTTTTGTAAGGCAAAGTGGAGTTCTGCGAGGCAGAGGAGGGTGGAGTTAGGGATTGATAAAGCGCGGTCTCGAATTTCTTGAAGGAGAATTAAGAGTATGCCAATTTGGCGTATCGTTTCTCGTGCGTTGTGACGTTGGGTGAGGAAGAATCGAGGTTGGAAATTGCATACGGTTTGGGAGAGAGTGATGAGTGAGGCGAGAAGTGTGGGCGGAGATATGCCATCGCAGGGGTGAACCGCCGGGAATGATAGGATGCGGCGATCCCTTGGAGTCATTGAAGTGAATGAATGAAGGAAGGGAAAAGAAGTTTGTGCTGTTCGGAGTTGGACTTGAATAGGTATGGGCAAAAGTAGGTGGCGCAAGCAATTATTATAGGGAGAGGAAGTTGTGTTGTTGTGTTGTGGTGAGTGGAGAATGTTCTGGACACGTGGCGGTCTATCTAAAAAGAGGATTGTATGACTTGTCTGGGACTGGGAGGGAAGGTGGGAAGATTCGTTTGATTAATAGAACCGGTACACGTGGAAGTGTAAGAGTAATACCGCTGATTTTCTTTTAACTTGAATGTTTCGATTTGCGTGGGTTGTTAGTTTCTTGGGAAATGGGAAGGTCAGGTAACAAATGCGTAAGCGGATTTAGATTTGGGTGGGGATTTACACAGTGAGTTTGAAGTGATGGGTGGTGGGTCCCATTAACCGCCCTCACCTGACTGACAGGTGGAGAAACCTTATGCCGACAGGTGGGAACTAGATGCTGCTAATTAGGATGGAAATATGCAAAGAACAGCCGCTAAATGGCACAACAGGTGTCAATACACAATTTCTTCAATAGAATAATTAAAATCGCTTCACAAATTTAATTTATTCTTCATATAATTTCAAATAACTCTCATTTTTATTCTTCATTCAAGAACAAAATAATATTTTTCTTTGTATGTATAATATAAATATTTTTAATAAATGATATTTTTTTCTCTGACAAGTATTTTGTGTTACTACTTTCAGTGACTTCAATAAACTTATTATAACTAATTAAGACTTGGTCAAATTAATTAATTTATTTGGTTCTAAGAGACCATTTTTAAAACACGTTTTCTATAATTTAAAATTTTAATGATTTTAATATTTTGCTACCTTTTATTCCATAATTTACTTTAGACATAAAAGTATATATAATTTAATAAAAACCTATATTTATTATTAATATGGTACTATCTAAAAATATTATTTATAAAGTGATATCTAATATTAAGCTTATTGTAAAAAAAAAGATAGTGAAAGTGATTATTTCATTATCATAAGGAGAGTGAATCTCGAAATGATATATATGTCATGTTATAAAATTACGAGACAATAAGTAACCTAGCTTTAATGTCCGGACAATAAAGTCGTAAAATAAGGAGTCATCAACACAAAAACAAGAATGTAAAGGTGTAAAAGAAAAAATCCATGAAACATGGAGCATGTTTCGTTTCTTAATTTATGGAATGCATACGAACATATTTTTTGCTATAAATTGAAGTATTCCCTCATTCTCAAAATGAAGAAAAAACATATATGCAATCCATTGAGAGAGAGCCAGCAAGAAGCATAAATAATAATTTTAGCTTCTGGGTGTAATTGGGTTGTGGGGTGTTAGTTTTTTTTGTAAATACCAACGTACTTTTCTTTCTCCTAGTAAAAGATCTGCACTAGTTAGGAGATGTAAGCATTTTTTGCCGAACTCCGTTATCAATTAGTGAGTTTAATTATTCTGCTTTTATTTCACTTTCACATATCTAACTTCATGGGAAAGTTCACCATTTTTCTTTAACAACTGATATCAGAGCGGGTTGTTAATTATGCAATTTTTTTCGAGGTGCTACTATTCATGAATAGTGAAATTGTTATTTTGTGAATAGTAAAAGAAAATTGTCAGAAACGATCTAGAAAATTCAGATCCAAGTTGGAGTGATGGCTGCAGATGAAGGAAAAGTGAAAATTGATAAGTTCGATGGTGCAGACTTTGGCTTTTGGAAGATGCAGATCGATGATTATCTGTATCAGAAGAATATGTATCAACCACTTACAGGAAAGAAACCAAATGATATGAAAGAGGAGGAATGGATTCTTCTCGACAGAAAAGCTCTTGGAGCCATTCAGTTGGTGTTATCCCGTAATGTTGCTTTTAACATTGTAAAAGAAAAGATGACAACATATCTTATGGATACTCTTTTCAACATGTACGAGAAACCATCAGCCTCAAACAAAGTTCATTTGATGAGACGTTGTTCAACCTACGGATGATTGAAGGCACTTCAATGGCGCAACATATCAATGAACTTAACATTGTTACAACCCAATTAAGTTCAGTTGAGATCGAGTTCGACGATGAAGTACGAGCTTTAATACTTTTGTCTTCTTTACCAAAAAGTTAGAATGTTGCTGTCACAACTGTGAGTAGCTCATCGGGAAGCAATAAGTTAAAATTTGATGATGTTCGTAATTTGGTTCTCAGTGAAGGGATCCGACGAAAAGAGTCGGGTGAATCATCAACCTCTTCAGTATTGCATACAGAGTCAAGAGGAAGAAGTTCGACCAAAGAAAACGGATGCAAAAAATTAAAGGGCAGACGATCCAAGTCCAGAAATAATTGTAGTTCCCAAAACTTGAAGAAAATTGAGTGTTGGAATTGTGGGAAAATCGAGAAAAAATCAGTGCAAGGGTGCACAAAAGAATCAAGAAGCAAAAGATGAAGCAAACGTTGCCTCTACCTTAGGGAAAGATGATGTGTTGATATGTTCTCTAGAAAACAAGGAAGAGTCTTGGGTATTAGACTCTGGAGCATCTTTTCATGCTACCTCACAGAAACAACTGTTCGAGAATTATGTTCCCGGAAACCTTGGTAAAGTTTACCTTGGTAATGAGCAATCATGCGAAATTGTAGATAAAGGGTGTTGTAAAGATTAAGTTGAACGAGTTTATATGGGAATTGAAAAATGTCAAACATATTCCCGACCTAACAAAGAACTTAATCTTAGTGGGTCAGTTAGCCAGTGAAGGCTACACGACAATCTTCCATAGTGATGATTGGAAGATCTCAAAGTGTGCGATGAAAATTGTTTGAGGCAAAAAGAGTGGTACTTTTTACAAGACAATAGAAGCATGTCATTTTATTGCAGTCGCAGCAAATAAAAATCCCAATCTATGGCACCAAAGACTTGGGCATATGAGTGAGAAAGGGATGAAGATCATGCACTCAAAAGTAAAACTACCAGGTCTTCAATCAGTAGAAATTGACATGTGTGAAGGCTGCATACTTGGAAAGAAAAAGAGAATTAACTTTTAGACAGGAAAAAGAACCCCAAAGAAAGAAAAACTTGAGCTTGTCCATTATGATGTTTGGGGTCCAACGACAGTCTCATCCATTGGTAGGAAGCAATACTTCATAACTTTTATCGATGATCACTCTAGAAAGGTATGGGTATACTTTCTGAGGCATAAGTCTGAAGTATTTGAGGCTTTTAAGATATGGAAAACTATGGTAAAAAATGAGACAAGATTGAAGATTAAAAAGCTCAGAACCGACAATAGTGGTGAATATGTAGACACCAAATTCAAGAAGTTTTGCTATGAGCACAAAATCAAAATGGAAAGGACCGTTCTAGTTACGCCTCAATACAATAGTGTAGCTGAGCGTATGAATCGAACTTTGACTAAAAGAGCTAGAAACTTGCGTGTGCAATCAGGCTTACCAAAGGAGTTTTGAGCGGAAGCAGTCAACATAGCAGCTTACTTGATCAATCGAGGTCCACCGATGCCATTGGAGCACAAGATACCAAAAAAGGTATGGAGTGGAAAAGTGGTAAAACTCTCACATCTTAGAGTTTTAGGTTGTATAACATATGTCCTTATCAGTGATCAAAGAAATGTACTTTCATTGGTTATGGTGAAGATGAGTTTGGCTACCACATATGGGATAATGAAAACAAAAAGATGATCCGCAACAGAGATGTAATCTTCAATGAAAGAGTGATGTACAAGGTGAAGCACTTGGTGGATTTGATGAAGACATAGATATAGCTTAGGTTGTGGGTGTGTAGATGATTAGGTTTTTAGTTTAAGCACTTAATCTCTTGATAGTCCATTATATTTTGTGATAAGCACCTTAAAACATTGCATCTCATTGAAAATCATTTTCTGCATGAAAAACTCACATTCAAGTATTAAAAGAACAAACTAAGTTTTTTTTAATCTGTTGAAAAAGATTTTCAATCTGTTAAAATCACTTAACAGAATAAGTGGTCATACATAATCGTATTTTCAATTGATTGATTCGCAGAATCAACAAGTTAAAATAACTTAGTGAATTTTTTCAAATATCATGGTTTCGCATTTTCAATCTGTTGAAATGATTTTCAATCGATTAAAACAGAGAACTATCATTTTTTTCTAAAGCTGTTTCAATCCATTGAAAACTCGAAACAATCGATTGAATGAACTTTTAAATGAAATCAATCGATTGAATCGTGGTTTCAATCGATTGAAATGTAATCTAATCGATCATAGTTTCATTCTGATCGATCATAACTCGGTCTGATCGATCATACTTCAGTTCTAATCGATCAGAGTCTCTTCTAACCTGTTATACTTCAAACTAATCGATCTTGTGACTCTCTGAAACAGTTTTTGACAGATGAAACGTTTACTTTCTTTTGGAAGAATGAGTTATCTTTATTCAATTTTCGCAAAGGTAATTTGGTTTAAACACAGCAAGTTTATAGACAGAAAATAAAAGAGATGAAAGAAGAAATTTAACACATAAATTTATACTGGTTCACTCTAATCCAGAGCTACATCCAGTTCTTGACAAACCTGTCAAGTTCCACTAATTCCAAGTGAAAATTACAACCAGGTAGATACTCACCAATCTACCCTAAGAACTATCTTGCAAACCCACAAGATAGAATCTTGAAAACCACCCGAGTAACCAAATCCGAGTTCTTGTACCAAGTGCAGATCACAATCCAACCTGCACAATCACACTTTTACAAAAGAGTATGGAAAGAAAAAACCTGGACTTGAAGTTCTAATTGTCCAGAACAAATTCTAACAGCACTTTCTCTCTTTGATTGACCACAATTCTGATCACAGCACCTTATGATATGAAAAGATTCTTGAATGCAGAGAAAGTCACGTATATGAAAGTTTCACAGATTGATTTCACAAGTTTTCTCAAGTAGTGTGTTGTATCTTTCAAAAGATAGATCAATTCTGTATATATAGAGTAAAACAAAGAA